CAATATAATGCTATTATTTTCAAGTATTTTAAGAAAGTGACATCTTGATGGGGGATATGAAATAAATCCAGCTTATTCCTCATAATAGTTATGGTATGTATACCTTTAACCTAGAAAGAGCACCACTCCTGGTTTAATTAGTCAGTGATATTAGGATACTCAACTAAATGTTTGTACCCGACCTTGATTTACCTCTTGCAAGATGTCATTCATAGTAGCTGTGTGGGATATGGAAACAGGAACAAAATGTGTTTATATCAGTAAAATAATCAGAGGAGGCTAGAAGATGAACATAAAACGTACACTACTAAAATGGAAAGAGACTGGTCAAGGTGGCTCACACCTGTAATCCCAGCACTTTAGGAGGCCAAGGAGGGTGGAACGTTTGAGGTTAAGAGCTCAAGACCAGCCTGGCCCACATGGTAAAACCTCATCTCTACTAAAAGTCAAAAATTAGCTGGGTGTGGTGGCATGCACCTTTAATCCCAGCCACTTGGGAGGGGAGGCTGAGGCAGGAGAATCACTTGAACCTGGGAGGCAGAGGTTGTAGTGAGCTGAGATCACACCACTGCACTGCAGCTTGGGTGACAGGGTGACAGAGTAAGACTCTGTCTCAAAATTAAAAAAAAAAAGAAAAAAAAAGCAACAAGTTGTGACAGAATAGGATTATTAGGAATTGCGTCTCTTTTTTTTTGAGACGGAGTTTCATTCTTGTTACCCAGGCTGGAATGCAATGGCGCGAACTCGGCTCACCGCAACCTCCACCTCCTGGGTTCAGGCAATTCTCCTACCTCAGCCTCCCCAGTAGCTGGGATTACAGGCACGCGCCACCATGCCCAGCTAATTTTTTGTATTTTTAGTAGAGACGGGGTTTCACCATGTTGACCAGAATGGTCTTGATCTCTTGACCTCGTGATCCACCTGCCTCGGCCTCCCAAAGTGCTGGGATTATAGGCCTGAGCCACCGCGCCCGGCTGGGAATTGCCTCTTGCTTTAATATTCGCATTTTAACTTATTAGGGTATTAGGCATTAGTACCATTCTTTATTTTTTAATTTTTTAAATTTATTTATTTTTTTAATCACACAATCACGGCTCACCACAGCCTCAACCTCCTGGGTTCAGGTGATCCTCCCACCTCAGCCTCCTGAGTAGCTAGGCCTATAGGCACACACAACCACAACTCAGCTAATTTTTGTATTTTTTGTAGAGATGTGGTTTCACCATGTTGCCCAGGCTGGTCTTGAACTCCTGGGCTCAAGTGATCCACCCACCTCAGCCACATTAGTACAATTCTAACTTTCACCCACAAAGTATCTGGCTGATTTCAAATTATTATAACGTAAGTTGCCTGGGAGTTGTAGAAATGTTCCCATGGGTTTGCCTAATAAGACCACATTTTGGTTTTGCATCTGGGGGTAATATATTATTTTCTTAGATGACAATTTGACCAGCAGATTTAAATTCCCAGCTCAGTCAAGCTACGTATTGACTCTTTGATGAAACCAATTCTAAAAAGTGACCATTTATTACTGATACCTGCTTTTTAGGGTCAACAATGAAAGTTGCAATACAGTTGTAATAGTATCTTAGCCTTTAACTTCCAATTTTGCTTTCTGGAATGTCATTTTTTTCTAGGCTACCTTAATTATCAAGTTTTCAACTTAAAGTCATTCCATAGTTCTGAAATTATTTTTCCTTTCTTTCCTTCTCTCTCTCTCTTTCTTCTTTCTTCCTTTTTTTTTGAGACAGGGTGTCACTCTGTCATGCAGGCTGGAGTGCAATGGTGCAATCATAGATCACTGCAGGCTTGACTTCCCCAGGCTCAAGTGATCCTACTACCTCAGCCTTCTAAGCAGCTGGTATTACAGGTGCATGCGCTTATGCCCAGCTAATTTTTGTAGAGATGGGTTTTGCCATGTTGCCTAGGCTGGTCTCTAACTCCTGGACTCAAGTAATCCACCCACCTTGGCCTCCCAAAATACTAAGATTATAGGCATGAGCCACCGTACCCAACATAAAAATGATTTCTTGCTTATAAATACCTTTTGTGACTTAAAGAGTTCTAAATTACTATTTTGATATGTAATTTTTAAAATTTTGGAAAGATTTTAATTATTTTTACTGCCTTTTCCTAAATATATTGTGACTCTTACTTGACAGGTTTGCCTTTCGATGTTTCATTAGCTAATAAAGTTTTCTCCCAACCCTGATCATCTACAACTGATGCAAAGTTAGTTTTAATTTGCTATAATTGGCTGAGACTGGTGGCTCACGCCTGTAATCCTAGCACTTTAGGAAGCAGAGGTGGAAGAATCACTTGAGCCCAGGAGTTCCAAGACTAATGTGGGCAACATAGTGAGACCTCCATCTCTATAAAAATGTAAAAAAAAAAAAAAATTATCTGGGCATGCCTGTGGTCCCAGCTACTTGGGAGGCTGAGACTGGAGGATTGCCTGAGACTGAGAGTTTAAGGCTGCAATGAGCTATGATTGTGTCACTGCCCTCCAGACTGGGTGGCAGAGCAGGACATTATCTCTTAAAAAAAAAAGAGAGAGAGAATTTTCATTGTGGTCTGGTGCCTATACCTACAAATCATTCTGGTGGACTCTGTTTAAATACACTGTTGTCTTTTCTGTAGGAATTCTAAATTTTCACTCCAATAATACAGATCTGGTCAACAACAACGTGTTTCTATAGAAAGTACTTCCTTCAGGGCCAGGCACGGTGGCTCACGCCTGTAATCCCAGCACTTTGGGAGGCCGAGGCAGGTGGATCATGAGGTCAAGAGATCGAGACCATCCTGGTCAACATGGTGAAACCCCATCTCTACTAAAAATACAAAAAAAATTAGCTGGGCATGGTGGCGTGTGCCTGTAATCCCAGCTACTGGGGAGGCTGAGGTAGGAGAATTGCCTGAACCCAGGAGGCGGAGGTTGCCATGAGCCAAGATCGCACCATTGCACTCCAGCCTGGGTAATAAGAGCGAAACTCCGTCTCAAAAAAAAAAAAAAAAGAAAGAAAGAAAGAAAGTACTTCCTTCATTTTAAATAAATGCCTTCGTTTCCCCCAAGTACTTTTATTCAAATTGAGGGAATTTGGGCTACTAAACAGACATCTTTCCCTTGTAAAGTAGCATACACATCTTGTGATTCCTGCTTATAAAACCTTCATGATATGAGACAGAGTATCAGGGACATAAGTTGCTGGTAAGACAAAGGACTACATTGTTCAAAACACCTGGAACAGACTGAAGAAAGATGGAATACTGGTAGACAAAGCAACAAGAGCAAAAAACTCATCTTGTGAGTAACAGTAATGTAGCATTTCTTATCAATAATTTCCATTTGCCACTCCTCTTTTCTCATATGCACTAACTTGGATACTTAACACAAATATGATTAATGATACCAGAGAAATGGGAAGCCCCAGTGAGAGTCAACATTGTAACTATAAAACAGGGTGGAGAGGAATTACAGAGATAAGTGAGATTAAGATAAACCTTGGGGTTCCTGTACTTTTTTTTCCCCCCTAAGGCACATGCTTGTTTTAAACACACACACACACATATACACACACACACACACACACACACACACACACAGCCGGGCATGGTGGCTCACGCCTGTAATCCCAGCACTTTGGGAGCCTGAGGTGGGTGAATCACCTGAGGTCAGCAGTTCAAGACCAGCCTGGCCAGCATGGTGAAACCCTGTCTCTACTAGAAATACAAAAATTAGCTGGGCATGGTTGCACCTGCCTGTAATCTCAGCTACTCAGGAGGCTGAGGCAGGAGAATTGCCTGAACCCAGGAGGCGGAGGTTGCGGTGAGCTGAGATGGCACCATTGCACTTCAGCCTGGGTAACAAGAGGGAAACTGTCTCAAAAAAAATAAAAATAAATAAATAAATAAAAACACACACAGGGCTGTACGTGGTGGCTTATGCTTGTAATCCCAGCACTTTGGGAGGCCGAGGTGGGCGGATCACCTGAGGTCAGGAGTTTGAGACCAACCTGGTCAACATAGTCAAATTCTGTTTCTACTAAAAATACCAAAAAATTTCTCTGCACATCTCTGTGGGGGAAAAAAAAGGTTAAAAAAATACCAAAAATTAGCTGGGCATCCTGGCCGGCGCCTGTAATCCCAACTACTTGGGAGTCTGAGGCAGGAGAACCGCCTGAAATGGGCAGTGGAGGTTACAGTTAGCCTCGATGGCACCACTGCACTCCAGCCTGGGCGATAGAGCGAGAGTCTCAACACACACAGACACTCATACACAAAATACACGTGACTGGTGTTGTGGAGAAGGATTGACCATCTGTAAGCTCCTAGAGGTTGGGGTTATATGTTATTTGCATTATTTACAAGCAAATAATGTGTCAGGCATATAATGGGTGCCTCTAAACGTTTGAATCAATATGTAGCCTAATACAGTTATACTGACAAGACTCGGGTTTAGAAACGTTGTTTTGGTTCAAGATAGAATTACTGCTTCTACTTCTTAGGTAGGGCTAGAAATTGAATGGAGGATTACTTTATGTTCGTTCATGTACACACAAGCGATTAATTACCAGCTCTGTCAAAGACTAGTGGAGTTTTTTTCTATATGCATTTGTACCCCACTTCATTGCACACAGGATTTGGGCGACTAGGAAAGTGGACTGACTCTACTAATAAACCGTTATAATAGCACGTGAAGCAAAAATAAATTCAGTGTATTCGACCCTTGCCAATTTAGGAGCATATTTCTCAAGTTATGTTTACTTAGGTTTTCCCTAGAGTGAGTGGTTTCCAATCTTTTTTGTCGGTATTTGCCATCAGTTGTCATTAATTCGTTGTTATTAATAGGAAGTATTCTTTGATCCGTCGAAATCTTGCTCAATATAGGCCCCAAGTGTTCTTTTAAGCCTCTGGGAAAACGACTTTGGCTGGTCGGTGCCGAAAGCCACACCCACAAAGAGGCCTTAGGAAACCTGGGGGTTTACTGGTGGCGACCTAGCTGTGGTAACCATGCGGCGTGTAGAGATCCCACTGCTCGCGCTCGTCTTCTCCGTGGGAGGTGCATCCCCCTACTCCCGCCGGCCCTGGGCCAGCTCCCTTTCTGGCCCGGACGCCGGGCCTCTTACCGCAAGCGGCGCGTCCCGAGTTCATTTGCATAGGGACGCGCGCGGCGCCGGCAGGAGGGAGGGCGGGCGCGGCCGGGGAGGCGGCGCGCGCGCGCCCTGACAGCTCGGCCCTGCTCGCTCACTCGCTCGTCCCCGGCTTCCGAGCACAGCATGGCGGTCAAGGTGACTCCAACTCTCTGCTGCTGCTTTTATTGCATAAGGGACATTCCGAGCGCCCTGCCTGCAGCCGCCCACTACTTCCCATTTCATTCAGCGCCTAGGTCTTAGATAGCTTGTTCTGGGGCTCCGGCTTGCTGCGGGGAGAGCTGTGCGGGGCTTGGACCGGAGGAGAGGATGCCCGGCTGGGGGAGGGGAAGGAGGAGGGATTGTGAGTTAAGGGGCTTGTACGGTAACCCGGGTCGGTGAAGTAAGAGTAGTGTCCTGTCCTAGGTGCATGGGATTGTGAGCCCGGAGTTGGAGGGCATCAGAAAGGGTGTGGGAGGAAGTGGCAAGTAAAGCTGGGGGTACCTAGGGCATCAGTGAATTGCAGTGGGGGAGGGGGTAACTGTTGAGTAATTTGGGACCTCAATAAGACCGACGGCAATGGTTGGCTTTTGCGTTGCAGATTGGAGGGTGAAAGTATTTGTATTTGTGGCAGCTCTCATATTTTAGGTTAGATAGGGAGAGGGACGCGCAGATAATTGCATGCTGGATTTGCTTTTCTTGGAGAAAGACTGCTAGGCCAAGTGATTAATTTGGGTGTTTAAACTTTCCTGTTGATCCACTCTTGTTAGCCTCTTGATTTGAAGGTGGGTGGTTACTACTGTGTTGCTAGTAGATTAAAGTAAAAGATCTTCATTGCCTTCCCTTTCCAGTCCAGAGGAAGCACCGTCCGGTAGATTTGCTATATCTTAGGCTATTCACACCTGTTTTTCTGCCCTCTAGTCACAGTTATCCAGTTTGACAGTTGTTATCAGCAATTGGGGCTTTTAGTTTGTTTTAAACTAAATGATAAAAGATAGGAACATTGATTGTTAGCCACGTGAACTCTAATCTGAAGAGATTGCGTGGTGTCTAGTGAAGCATTAACTAACTTTTTTTTTTTTTTTTTGCTTACAGGTGCAGACAACTAAGCGAGGGGATCCTCATGAGTTAAGAAACATATTTCTACAGGTAAATTGCCTTACGTAGTGTGCCTTTCATTGCAAAAACATAAAACATATACATCCATAGTCCTGTTTATGGCTTAACTTAGAGAAATGTTCAGTTTTCATGTATTCTTTCAAACATGACCAGACAATATAGCTTATATTTCTCTTATTAAGGTTTGATTAAAGGCCGCCTTTTAATTACAGGTTGATAAAAGGTTTTCCTCAAATTACTGCTTTTCCTTGCATGACTTAAGATATATATATTTTTAAAAAAATCATTTCCAGCTTCCCTTAAGCACAGAGACCAAGATAAAATTTCAAAATATACTGGCATTCTTGTATAATTAATAGGTTCTCTTCCTTGAAAGTTGCATGTTTATAAAGTTTTCCTACTTAGGAGCAATCTTCCATGTAATTTGTTGCTGATATAAGAATATTATAGTCATTCTTAATTTGTGTGTCTTATTTATATTGTATCCTTAAGCCTTTGGGGATTTTGTTACAAAATGTTACTTCTTAAGATTCTTGCAGTGCTCTACCTTAACTTCTAAGCTTTTAGTATCAGTGACTTGACTGTAGACTTAAAAAAGAAATGGAAAAAAAAAAAAAAAAAGATTGGCTTAGTTTATTGTTTTGGTTTCTTTTCCTAAATTTCAAGTTTCCTATGCAGGAAGTTGTACTTAAGAAGTAGGTAGATGTAAGGGGAGGAAAGCTAAGGTGTTTTACCAAATACTGAGTTTCTCTCTGAAATCTTTTGAGAGCTTTCTATTCTGGACCTGGGTTCTTATGAAGACACTTTGACCTTGGGCAGGTCCCTGCTGGGTATTATTTTCCTCCGTGAAATGATAGGTGATCTCCAAGGTTCCTTCCCATTCCAAAAGTCTATGAGTCTATATTAGGAACAGATTCTAACATATGCTGATGAGCGTGGAATAGATGACATTTTTATGTGAGACGTGGTTTGCCTAGCTATTGTTGGGGAAGACGCTGCATAGCTGACCATACATATGTGTAGTTTATGAAAAATAGTTTGTGAAAATAGGAATCTTAAAGGTTATAAAATCTGATAAGGGAAGTATTTTTTCCAGACCAGAAGTAATTATAATAATGGAAATGCTCCATTAATGACTTGAAACCTTTATTCCATGCAGGCATTCTTGAGAATAGCCAAAAATATGTCAGTATTCACCATACCATGTGATTATACTCAATTGTTTTGTGAAGAGTTCATGGGATATAGTTAATTTTATGTTCTAGACTAAGTAGACATGGAAGAAATCAGTTGAAATGCTGCATGATGTAGTGAAAAGAGCACTGCCTACACATCAGGAATACTGAGTTCAATTCCCAGCTATGCGTTTATCTTGCTGTTGTACCCTTAGGCTAACCATCTAGCCTTCCTGAGTTTCAGCTTCTTGTGTGGGACTCAGTGGGACATAGGGAATGGGAATTGAGGTCTTTCCAGCTTTAAAAATTCTATGGGAAAAAAACATACTGTGAATCTGTATGGATTTGTTTTTTTGTTTTTAAGGGGTGGTGGAGGTGGGTTGGAGGTATGAGGAAAGTGGCCAGGACTGTCCCTAGCTCTCTGACAACTTTTAAATCTTAGCTTTTCACTTAATGTTTTGCATATTATCATTATCTTTTTATACATTATTTTGATGATGCCTTTATTTTTATATTGAAAATTTGTGGAATTCATAACTGCTTATTTAGCACTAAGTATGAAACACTGACCCAAGCATTATTGATAGATAAGAGAGCAATAGAATGTAAATACTCACCTTCAAAAAGGCCTAACGCAGAAAGAAAGATAACAGTAGAGGCCCGGTGCCGTGGCTCACACCTGTAATCTTAGCACTTTGGGAGGCCAATGCCAGAGGATCACTTGAGCCCAAAAGTTCTGGGCAATATAGTGAGACCTCATCTCTGCAAAAAATTTAAAAAATTAGCCAAGCCTGGTGGCATCCACCCATGGTCTCAGCTACTGGGGTGGCTCAGGTAAGAGGATTGCTTGATTTTGGGAGGCAGAGGTTGCAGTAAACCAAGATTATACCACTGCACTCCAGCCTGGGCAACAGGGCAAGTGTCTCTCTGTTTGTCTATCTGTCTGTCTGTCTCTCTCTCTCTTTCTCTCTCTCTCTCTCTCTCTCTCTCACACACACACACACACACACACACACACACACACACACGATTCAGCATTGCTAGTTGGATCAATTTGAGGATAGTTACCAAGTAACATATTCGATTTTTATTTCTGGCTTGAATACTTCAAACTATAGTTACTTGAAGCTTTGCAGAACTGTTTAGAAACAGTTTTATAGATGTGTATAATTGATTAATATTTTAGCTATAATAGAAGACAAAATACATGCTAACCATATATTTCTTTAGCACTTAACATATTTAGCCAACAAATATTTACAAAGGGTTATTTGCTGTGTATCATGCACTTGTGTTCAATACAGTACTGTTCAGTAGCAGGCACCAAGTTGAATATCAAGAGAGATAATAGAGTCAAGGCTTAAATGCTGATGGACCTGTGATTGGACTACCTGCTGTCTGAGGCCCATTCCATCTCTAACGGTCTGTGGTTGAGGGAATTAAGAATAGTGAAGGCAAATGCATAGCCTGTGGTCGAGCAATCAGATTGGCTTCCTACATTGCAGTAGTCATGTAATAATATTGACAATGGCTAACATTTATCAATCATTTAGAGTGTGTTTGAGATTGGCCTAGTACTTTAAGGATATTAATGTTAATTTTCATAACAACTTTATGAAGTAGGTTTAATATCCTTGTTATATAGATGAGGTTAAATTATTGTTAATTAGTTCAGACTATGAGGTAGAGCCCAGATTCAAGTCAAAGTCCAGAGCCCATACCCTTAACCCTTACATCATACATATTACAGGTAGGATATTGAAATGGGGTGACTTTTTTTTTTTGTGACCGAGTTTTGCTCTTGTTGCACAGGCTGGAGTACAGTGGTGTGATCTCAGCTCACTGCAACCTCCACCTCCCAGGTTCAAACAATTCTCCTGCTTCAGCCTCCCAAGTAGCTGGGATTATAGGCGCCCGCCACCATGGCCAGCTAACTTTTGTTTTGTTTTGTTTAGTAGAGACGGGGTTTCACCATGTTGGCCAGGCTGGTCTCAAACTCTTGACCTCAAGTGATCCACCTGCCTCAGCCTCCCAAAGTGCTGGGATTACAGGTGTTAGCCACCGTGCCCAGCCTAGTGGGGCGACTTTTGAAAAACAGAGGTATGTCAGGGGATAATAGCAGTATGTTTTGTTAAGAAGTTAAAAAAAATCTGGTTACTGAGGTGATGAAATTTTAAAAGTTTCTTTATAGGCTGGGTGTGGTGACTTATGCATGTAATCCCAGCACTTTGGGAGGCTGAGGCAGATGGACAACCTGATGTCAGGAGTTTGGGAGGCCGAGGCAGATGGATCACCTGAGGTCAGGAGTTTGATACCAGCCTGGCCAACAATGATGAAACCTCATCTTTACTAAAAATATAAAAAGTAGTTGGGCATGGTGGCAGATGCCTATAAATCCCAGCTACTAGGGAGGCTGAGGCAGGAGAATTGCTTGACCCAGAGAGGTGGAGGTTGCAGTGAGTTGATGGAGACATTTTACTCCAGGCTGCGTGGCAGAGCGAGACTCCGTCTAAAAAAAAAAAAGTTTCTTTACATTGTAACTGTCCTAGTTAGCCAAGGAATTTGGATTTGAAACAGTAGGGAGTCACTGTGGGTTTCTGAGTAGACAAATGAAGTGGTGAATTTTGGCAGCTTTTTGTGTATGTTGGATAAAGTATGAAGAGATTGAAAGTAGGTTAGATGATCAGCTGAGAGGTTATTGAAATAATACTTGTGAGAATTGATGACCTAGAGTGGCTGATGGCTGGGGAAATGAAAAGCAAGGACAATACCAGTGACTTTGTAAGGGAAGAATCTATCAAATTTGGTATTAAATATGGAAGTAAGGGAAGAAGTAGTGAACCTGGCATTTTTAGGATAGATGTTAATTGATAAGGCATATATTTGGAGAATTTTTTGGAGTTGTAGCGTTAGTTTGGTTGCCAAACAAATGTATCTCTAAGTTAAAGTTGGATTTGGACAGATATAAATTTGTGCAGGTGGTAGATGAATTCCTTGTAATTAAAGGGATTAAATGAAAATAAGACAGAGGATTAGGGACTGAATTTATAAGTGATATCTCCAATTGAAGTGGGAAGGAGGAGGAGGAGAAATAGGGAGAATCATCCCATGAAAGTTTAAAGTAAGAGTTTCACAAAAAGGGTATAGTCAAAGGTTAAAATATAGATTATTCTATTAGTATGATTTGATTTGGGTAGGAGTTTGGGGTCATTTGAGTTTAGAATTATTTGAGCTAAAGTCTACAAAGAGATTTAAATTTTAGAATACAGTTCAAAACTCTTTGTAGAATATAGATCTGTGGCATTAACTAAGTTCATAAATAGTCAAGAAAAATTCCTACTTTCAAATAAGAGTAATTTGTTAAACTTTTGATCCTTGGCTCATAAGTCATTTGTAAAACAATAAAATGGCTGGGCGTGGTGGTTTATACCTGTAATCCCATCACTTTGGGAGGCCAAGGCAGGTGGATCAGTTGAGGTTAGGAATTCGAGACCAGCCTGGGCAACATGGTGAAACCCTGTCTCTACCAATAATATAAAAAATTAGCCAGGTTGGGCCGGGTGCGGTGGCTCAAGCCTGTAATCCCAGCACTTTGGGAGGCTGAGGCAGGTGGATCACGAGGTCAAGAGATCGAGACCATCCTAGTCAACAAGGTGAAACCCCGTCTCTACTAAAAATATTAAAAAATGAGCTGGGCACGGTGGCGCGTGCCTGTAATCCCAGCTACTCAGGAGGCTGAGGCAGGAGAATTGCCTGAACCCGGGAGGCGGAGGTTGCGGTGAGCCAAGATCGCGCCATTGCACTCCAGGCTGGGTAATAAGAGGGAAACTCCGTCTCAAAAAAAAAAAATTAGCC